GCACCTGGGGACTGGGGCAGAGCCGGTGGGATGGGCACCCAGGGCAGAACCAGCGGCCACCACAGTGGTGTGTGTGGAGCTGCCGCCTTGAAGAAAACGGAGGCGAGTTCCACCGCCTCAGGGGAACTGAGAGCGGCCACTGCCGCTTCCGGAGCTTTGTGAGCGGACACCGCTGCCTCGGGGAAACTGAGAGCGGACACCGCCGCTTCCGGAGCTTTGTGAGCGGACACCGCCGCTTCCGGAGCTTTGTGAGCGGACACCGCCGCTTCCGGAGCTTTGTGAGCGGACACCGCCGCTTCCGGAGCTTTGTGAGCGGACACCGCCGCTTCCGGAGCTTTGTGAGCGGACACCGCCGCTTCCGGAGCTTTGTGAGCGGACACCGCCGCTTCCGGAGCTTTGTGAGCGGACACCGCCGCTTCCGGAGCTTTGTGAGCGGACACCGCCGCTTCCGGAGCTTTGTGAGCGGACACCGCCGCTTCCGGAGCTTTGTGAGCGGACACCGCCGCTTCCGGAGCTTTGTGAGCGGACACCGCCGCTTCCGGAGCTTTGTGAGCGGACACCGCCGCTTCCGGAGCTTTGTGAGCGGACACCGCCGCTTCCGGAGCTTTGTGAGCGGACACCGCCGCTTCCGGAGCTTTGTGAGCGGACACCGCCGCTTCCGGAGCTTTGTGAGCGGACACCGCCGCTTCCGGAGCTTTGTGAGCGGACACCGCCGCTTCCGGAGCTTTGTGAGCGGACACCGCCGCTTCCGGAGCTTTGTGAGCGGACACCGCCGCTTCCGGAGCTTTGTGAGCGGACACCGCCGCTTCCGGAGCTTTGTGAGCGGACACCGCTGCCTCGGGGAAACTGCGAGCAGACCACGCCGCTCGTACCGACATCAGCGGAGGTTCCCGCACGCTGCGTACCAGCCCGCGATGCTCCAGGAACGGGTGTGAGGTACTGGGTGCCGCAGACGAGGTCTCTGACGACCCTGGGATAGCCGCCTCGGGAGAACTGTGAGCAGGCTCTGCAGCCAACTCCATCCTGACGGCTGAGCCGCTCAACTGCAGAGCCAGGTTGACGTAGTCCTCCAGCGCCTCCTCGGGGTGCCAGAATGGCATAAGGGATTTGAAAGGCTCGCTTAGGCCCCCCCAGAAACAGACCATTGAGCAGGTCCTCTCTGTCGCCGACTGGCGAGCCACTCCCACGAAGTCCCTGGCGTAATCCTCAATGCACCGGTCTCCCTGGCGGACATTGAGGAACCTTCCTGCTGGACCCATGCTTGGCGGATTATTCCGTAACGAAGCAGTAAAGGAACACACCGTGTAAACAGGGGTCTGGGTCCAAATGCAGGTTTATTTGACTGCAGGGGAAAACAAAGTAAAAATCGAAACAGAAAACACAAACAGAGCTAAGACTCTGACACACAGGCTCAGAACAGAAACGGAATCTGACACAATACAGCCACTTCTGGCTTGCATCAGTCCATGTACCAACAATTAATAATCCGCCCAGAGAGGCGTGGGGAAGGCGTATAAATAGCCCTCAGGATGGGCAACAGCTGTGTGTGTGTGAGTGTGTGCACAGGTGTGTGGCATCAAGGTAACGGAGTCCGGGAGGATGGGAAGTGGCAACCTCTGGTGGTGAGAGGGAGAACACCAGACCCAGACCCCTGACAAATTCACTCTCTGATAGTAGATGGTGCTTGTGAAGCAGCAGAAATAGAACTGTTTCACCTGTAACCTAATTTCATTTTTATTTAATTTTAGTTTAATTAACTTAATGTTGTTATAGTTTATATAAATACATCTGAAAGTACCCCGTGCAAAAGTAGCTGAAGGGTGTTACAATTTAACATTTTGTCAAGTGAAATGTACTTAAATAGTTATAGATATCCTGTGCTCAGTGAGTAGAGACCAGTGAACACTCTGTAGGGACCCTGTAAATCAGAATGCAGCTCAACTTTCAAAGTATTTTTATTATTGTTTATTATTATTATTATTATTATACAGATACATTATTACAGATATTTTAAAAACTTTGCGCACTGTTCCAAGAAGTTGTTCTCTCTATATGTTTAAAAGGAAGAATGCATCCTTTGTGCAATGCTGTTGCTGACCAGGACTTTAAGGGATATTTCACCTAGATCATGATTTACTCACTTTCAAGTCATTCCAAACCGGTATGACTTATTTTCTTTTTTTTCTCACAAAAGAATATATTTAACAAAAATAACAAAAAAATAAATTAAATTAATTAAAAGCAAAATATCTTACCTGTTCTACAGAAGAATTAAAGTCATACAGGTCTGTAATTACATGAGTGTGTAAATGATGGTAATTTTCATTTTGTAGCCTGTTCTTGAGATGGGAACTTTTTTGAATAACAATTTCTGCACTGATTACTCATAAAATGTGATCTGGGGTCATATGCATAAAACGTCTCAGAAATGCTCTTAAGAACAGATCACACCTAAGTGTTGTGGCATAACTATAGTGACATATAGAAAAAATGGCCATCCTCAACCACTGAATCAATCAGTAGTGTGTTTGCAAGGGTGTGACATAATAGTATTATATGACACCAATCATTTGTTCATAATTTATTGCAACACAAAATGGTATTTTAGTAACAGGTTTCTTTATGTTGAATCATTTTTGATGGATGAATTGAGAATGCCAATTTTAATTTCCTGTATTTATTCATTTAAATGTTTATACATTTTTACTCTGAGTGCTTTATGCATACAGCCCCTGATCCTCATACAAGTTACAAGTTACATAGCAATCTGATTAAACTAATAACATACATTTGTAGTTTTCAAGCTAATACATTTCTGTGCATTTATGTTTTCGTGTTATTCAGGTGTCCCTTGCATAACAGACTGTGTGATGGCTGAGCTTGAGAAATTAGGGATGAAGTATCGAGTGGCTTTGCGGTAATGCACATTTACATGACATACATGTAACAGTAACAGTGTCTTTTGAACACTAAGGACCAAACCAATATTTGGGGGCAGGGGCATATCAATAATAATTTTTATTTAAATGTCCTTTTTTTATTTTTTTTATTGAACATTTAAAGGGTATAATGAAAAACTGTAAAATAAGTATTGTTTGTAAAATCAAGTTGAACTATTTGCAAATAATAGTTTTATTTTAAAATATGCACACATTCACTTTTAATCATATTCAATTATGAATTACATGAATCACACCTATATTTTATATGTTAAACAGAAAAACTTGACACATTTCTTTCATAAAACACTTGGCAAATATTAAATGTTTAGCTACTTAAATCTGGCACTCATTCACTGTTAAAACTAAAGCGCTGGGATGCACACTCGGATTCTCTGAATTGATTGGCCATCTTAATCATTTTGGCATTGATGAGCACTGTTACACCCCTGAGGCAGTTGATCCTAAAACTGTATTCCCTAAAACGTTGTCATCCTAACAATACAAAGTGCAATGTGTAACGTACGTAGTACAGCAGACCAGCACCAGGAACAACAAACATGCCTTTCTCGACTAGAACACTGGAAATCAACTTTCATTCTGCTTTGTTCATAAAATATTAGATGTAGTCGGTAGAAAAGGATTATCCTGTCCTGTCCTCCCAGAAGAGAAAATAATTACTGTTTGCACAGGTCATCTTGTTGAAAAGTATACATCACTTAGCTTTTAACGGTTCATGAAATCCTGTGTTTCAGCACTGATTAGTTCCCACCGCAGTTTTTAAAAATAATAAGTGGATGTGGTAAGCTGTGAAGTGGAGGGGGAAGAGGCGAGACAGACAGCACAACAAAGGCTTCTGAGATAGTCAGTTTAATTTTGCGCTCACTGAGTTGAAAGCATCAAAGGTTTCCACAAATGCACACTACAGTTCACTCTTTCACAGAACAAAATTAACAAATATATATGGTATGTAAGCTCAATGTACATTACACAAATACACATATAAAGGATATAATTTAATGCACAAATAAATGCATATGCATGATAAATATCTTGCAGAAATCTGTTCTGTTCTAGTACTCTCTGATCATAGAAAAAATAACTAGCTTTGTTTGCCCTTAGCATGTCATCCTTAGACTTGTCACAATGTTGTAATTAAAAGGCATTTTTCTGTTTAGAGATCATGTGTGAACAGGACCAGTTTTTGAAATGCTGGCAAATCAGCTGCAGCATTTGCTGGATTAAGTAGTAGTAACTTTGCAGGAAAAGTTCACCGTTGTTGCAGTGTGTGCCACTGCAGTTGGTCATAAGATTAACTACATTGTGGACAGCTATGTCATTTACTGTAAATTTTTTAACAGTTTGTACAATTTGATGACATCACAGTTTCAACAACATTTATATTACATTTACATTTAATCATTTAGCAGATGCTTTTATCCAAAGCAACTTGCAAATGAGATAAAAAGAAGCAATCTGTAATCATTTTTGCTCTGATTTGTGAATGGCAGACATCCCACCTCTCCTGGAGTGTCCCGCATATTGATAGCGGCTCCCTGACACCCACAAATTCTATACAAAATCCCAGAAATTGAGTGAGAGAGAGAAACCCTGTTTCCAGGATATTCAAGGTCATTTTTGGTGATTTAATCAAAAGTTGTCACCATCTGGAATGATAACAGTATGGATAAAAGATAGAAAGCTATTGTGTATGTAAATGGTAGATGTGGTGCATTTACCAGAAAAGGTAAAACTGGAATTTTACTGTGGTTGAACAGGTTTTATGTATGAAAGTGGCTACTCTTTCTTCCTTGGTTTTTATGCTGATTTGAACTTTTTTTGTAGGATTGCCAAAGATCCCCGCTTTGATCGATTACCTTGCTCACACAAAGGAACATATGCTGACGACTGCTTGGTGCAAAGAGTAACGCAGGTATGAGAACTTTGTAAGCTTTGGGGTTATAACTGTTTCATATTCTCAAATGAATGGAAAGAGTGGAATACTGCTGCTTATTCATTAGTGAATCAAGCCATTTAAAATGGCAATTTTTCACCTGAGATTTGGAACTAAATTACAAGTGGGGAAATGCCTTAACTAAAGTGGCAGCATCATTATTTGTAAGAATTTTCAAAATGACCAACACCACCCCCCCCATGGATTCCATAATGTATTAAATATACCTTAATGTCCTTGTAGATTTTGGTTCACAGATTTGGTTTTAATCTTCATTTTAAGACCCTATATGGTTCCAGAGATATACTGGACTCATAGTGTGGCTCCAAGAATTTGTTCAATTGTACACATTTTCAGTGGTCAAAAACCAAATGTGGGTCACTTTGCATACAGAAGATACTTTTTTTCTGTTCAAAAGATTGTTCAAATCTGAGTGCTTAATTCAGGGCGGACATTTGGCCATTTATATTTAATTTCTAAGAGATATAACCATAAAACCTTTTGTGTTTAGGTCCAATTTTGACCCGAGTATGAACTTTACAGGCTTTACACAATGTTATGCAGACTTTTTTGACATGACCTTGGCGTTACTAGCATCATGCTGTACAGGAGCTACAGGAATGTGACTTCTCTCAAAAATGTAACCTCTTTCCCATGTCTTTCACACACTTTTGGGACTGAATTTTGTTGATAAACATGAATATGCACGCCTATTGATGATCAATATTTTCATGCTGCAATAGTTATATAAATTGTGTATGACTGTTTAATAAGCTTTCATTCCACCGGGTCCAAATAGACCCAGGAATGCAAAAGTTGAATGCAGATTTTGAGTGCATTATGAAGGTTAAGGCACAGCAAATGTGGAGGTTTCACAAAAATGAATGAATAAATTAAATAATTGATTAAAATTAGATTTTTAAATATATATTAGGAGTGAAAATTAAGTGATTTCACAAATCAATAAAATAAGTGACACTATGAAACAATTCTAATCTCAGAGCTGATATGCATTTTATATCTTGCTTTACATTGTGACTAAAGCATTCCCAATTGTTTCATTAGCACAAATGTTACATTGTGGCCACAGTGGACAGGGACCTAAAAAGGAGGATTCGGAAGATCCCAGGAGTCCCCATCATGTACATTTCCAATCACAGGTACTCAAGCTCAATTCGCTAAGTCTCGCCTTAATGTTACTGAGGAGGGGCTCTAGTGAGTACAAGTGAAAAAGCCTAGGTTATGTGCAAACTTCAGAAATTGAATAAAGCCTACTGGTAAATGTGTGTCCAGGTATGTCCAATCCTGCTTTTGAAGGAACACCATTTTGAAGAGCCCGATACTGGTCTCCTGTACTCGTACTCGTACTCGTTAAAATGCCCCGATACCAAACGCCGATACCACATAGCATGTGTTATGCAGAGCACTAATTCCGAGTATGGGTCACCATACGTGGCCACGTCACGTCACTTAATTTCACTCACTTCACGTCACTTAATTCTGCATCAGTACAAATACGTGCACGCGTTGCGCGTGTTTTGCTTGCTTGAGCGTTTCTGCATTATATGAGTGGCTTTGGAAAATAAATCACAGCACGTTTCAGATGAAAAAAACGCGACTCCTATTTCTGAAAATATCACAGTTAGGAGATTTATAGCGAGTGGTTCCCTGCATTATTACAGCAAAGCGTGTGATTACAGTACTAAGCCGCTGCAATGGAGCAGCTCTA